TCAGCACAACCGTCAGCCGGAGGACTCAGTGAGCACTGGACGGCAATCGAGGAAGCGATCCAAATGTCAATCGAAACAGCAGCAAATTCTGACTCACGATGAAATAAAAAACGATGGATCTCCCCAACTTCGGTTGCCCTGCTAGACGCTCCCAAAGCCATTCTTTCGGATTCAAACTACGACAAAGCGCGCAAATCCCTTAAACGCCGACTCATCAAGAGTCTGGGGAATAATCGCGAGAAGTGGTGGGTAGGGAAGTGTAGAGAGATGGAGAAGGCTGCGGCTATCGGTAATAGCCGCAATCTTTTCCGAGTAATTAGGAGTACAGATCCAAGGAAAGCAAGCGTAAGTGAGGTAATTGAGGAGTTCGACGGCACACTGATCCATATTCAGCAACGCCGTCTAGATCGACGGGCAGAACATTTTAAGGCTCAGTTCAGCTGGCTCTCGTCAGCACAAGACCTCCCTACACCCGATTCAACTGTGCAAAGACTGCCAGTTGACATCAGTCCTCCATCTGAAATAGAGATCACCCGAGAAATAAGCTTTCTCAAGGGTATAAGGCTTCCGACCCAGACGGGCTGTCCCCATCGGTTTTTAAGCATGGAGGTCCAACCTTGGTTTTGGAGTTAACAAAACTCCTGGGTTCATTGTGGGAAAAGGAACAGGTTCCAACTAAATGGTGTGAATCGGTGATCATACCGATTTACAAGAACGGCGACAGGTCTCCTTGTGAAACCACAGAGGAATTAGGTTAATTAACATTGCCTCTAAACTTCTCACCGGGGTCATACTCCGTCGATTGTCTGCTGCTCGTGAAGAGTGTACACGTGAGAACCAGGCTGGTTTTAGTCCTGGTCGAGGTTGTATCGACCACATATTTACTCCTCGTCAAATCCTAGAACAGACACTGTTTTCGTAGACCATTTGCATCTTCCTCTACCTGAAAGCGGCTTTCGACTCATTCGATCGCTCTAAACTCTGGTACTACCTTTCTCTGAAGGGTGTGCGCGAGAAGTTTATTTCAATATTACAATCCCTCTACAATAATAGCCGAAGCCGAATCCGAGCTTACAGCATGTTTTCTCCCGAGTTCACCGCAGAAAGTGGTGTTCGACAGTGTTGCCCTCTCTCTCCGTTTCTATTTAATTTCGTTATAGATTTCATTCTTGAAACAGCCCTATTCTCCTGCAAGGATAGCGGTATCGACTTACTTCCGGGTGGCAGACTGTCTGATCTAGAGTATGCAAACGACATTGTGCTACTAAGTGAAGATCCAGATAAGTTGCAAGCTTTTCTGGATAGTTTGAGTGCTAGTGTCGCGATGTTCGGCGTGCGCTTTGGACCTTCAAAGTGTAGAGTGTGTAGTGTGTGTGTA